GGTGTAGCTCATTTCTGATATAAATATGTGGAAAGAAGTAAGAAAGTGTCCTTAGTCTTCAGTCCTCAGTTAGTCCGTCTGTATCTGTCCTTAGTCAGTCCTTAGTCAGTTATCTTCAGTTTTATATTTCTTTCTCTGTCTGAAAACCTCACAATACATAATTCAAATCTTTGTTTCAGAATGGATTTTGATAAAAAATGCATTAATTGTAACAGATATTTGCGAAAAACAGTTGGATATAAAAAAGTTATTATGACAATTGATGAGGCTAATATTGCGACATAAAAAATTGGAAAGAGAGTCTTTATTAATGATACCTTTTGTGGTAAGTGTCGAGTTATTTTAACAAGACCACCTATACTTAAGAACACTGAGGATTCATCTCCAGATCAAGTAAGTATTGAAAGTCAGCCAATTTCATCTCAATCCTCATCCACTACTATTTCATCTGTATCGTCAACTGAAGATCCTTCATATGTTATTGAAGAAAAAATGGAAGAAGAATTAGAATTTATGGAGTTGGGTTTTCCTCGAATTGTTGCTACTCACAAATACTGTTGCATTTGTAGATCATCATCAAATATCAAATCTGTTCCATTTGAAGCACGCAAACAAGTGTTTTTCAAAAGACAACTCCTTATTCTCGAAGGAAATCGGTGTTGTAAAGACCATCTTATAAAAAAGCGGTTCTACGATGAAGACATTAACAATTTTCGAATTTATTCGAACACCAGTGTATTTGAAGTTCGTGATTTGGAAAAATTACTGGGGCAGCTCGCTATTGGTACTGACTCGTTCCTAATTGATAAAATTGGAGATCACTCGTTTTCAGAAAAACAGTTAGAGGCATTTACTAGTCTTACCTGGGAAAAATTGATATTTTCACTTCGTGAAAAGTTAACATCGATGAGAAACTCAGTGAATCGTAATATCGTTCAAGCTCTTGTTATTTTTTTATTCAAATTACGAACCGGAAATTCGAATGCATTAATATCTTCCGTTTTTGGTTTAGTTCGGGAACAAATTGTATCTGACTACTGTGATGACTTCGTTTGAAAAAGATGTTTTACCTCAGCATTTTGGAATTGATGCTATCAGTAGGGAGACATTACTCACTAATACGTCAAACACTGCTAAAAAATTGTATCAAGTAGAAGATGACCAGTTGATATTCATTTGTGATGGAACATATATTCGTCATGAAAAAAGTGCAAATAACGAATACCAGAGGAAATCATATTCTGGTCAAAAAAAGGTTCCTTTGTGTAAACCATTCACGATATGCACTACGAATGGTTTCGTTATAGATATGCTTGGGCCATATACAGCTAATATGAACGATGCTGAAATTATGAGAGTGATCTTAAATGACCCCAATGGTCTGATTAAAGTGCTGAAAAAAGATGACATTATTGTGGTTGATCGTGGCTTTCGTGATGTGATTGTATACTTAGAAGAATTAGTGTTCAAAGTGCTAATGCCTGCTCTCAAAGGAAAACGCAATCAGTTGACCACAGATGAATCGAATAAATCCCGTTTTGTTACCAAAATTCGTTGGGTTGTTGAAGCAGTACATGGCAATATTAAACAGAAGTTTAAGCTATTAGATCATAAACTGGATAACAAATTGCTTCCAAAAACTAGTGTTTTTTGTCGAATCGCTTGTTTTTTGCACAATGAATTTGGAACAAGACTTAATTCTGATCTTGATCTTACAGAAAAAATAATTGCTGCCATGAATTCAAAAAAAGATCAAGAGAATACTTTAGCCTTGGAGATAAAAACTAATCGTTGGGCCAGAAGAAAAGTTCCCTTTGCAATAATAACTTCAGAACAATTAACTGACTTTCCAGAATAATCAGAGCAAGAACTCAAAATTCTTTTCACTGGATCATATTAAATGTCTCAAGCTGTATCGTATTTAGCTGAGATGATGGATGAAAACGGAATAATCACATTCCATTATTTAAAAATTACACGTAATATTATAAAATTCGAAGTCAGATCTCGACATATTAATTCGAAGACATATCGTTGTTTTATTGAATATCAGCCAGATAAGAACGATATTTCCGGAATAACTCGATATTGTTGTGATTGTGCGAATGGTAGACGTACTGTTGGATGTTGCTCTCATATTGCTGCTATCATATATTATTTATCTTACGCTCGATATTTGGCGAAAATTGTAAGACCTGCTGAGATCCTGAG